TGATTGTTACTATATAACACGCAATCTACAGACATTTTGATAACGAAACACGGACCAAAACGATAATGCAGACATTTGTAATGAAATTTTCGAACTCTATATAGGATTAACAAAAACATTTGATCTGTAAGTTGATTTATCAATAAAGGCGTATATAAAAAAATAAATTTTTGAAAAACTATTAATTACAAAATTATTTTGTTTTCAGAAAAGTTCATATAACTTATGGAGGTTACATGACTTATTATTTACAATAATTATTTAAATTAACTACAGCTGTTAGAATCTTTTTAATCAAAAAGAAAAATGTTTTAATCTAAAAAGAATTGCAACAATTTACACAAAGCTATACCTGATAATTTTAAAGAAGGAGTATGATAATTATTTTTCTTTTTTATTGTAATTATAAAGTGTTACATGAGATAATATTACATATATTGTCAGACTGCATTCGAAAGTAATCTAAGTCGTTAAAAAAAGTATTATTTTCGCTTGTATTCATAATTATTTTTCTGGAAGTTAGTTAAATATTTTGAATAAGTCTTGCTACAAGAAATTTATTTTTTATTATTGATTACTGTAAAACTTAGAATGTATGAGCAATTGTTATGGAATTGAAAATAGCTAAGAAAAAATGTAATCAAAGTCAAGGAGAGGTTTCATAAATATTCTCATCATAATTTATTGTGATGAGTTAGCAGATCGACGATTTAAGTTCTTGTCACAATAATTTTTAGAGATCCTTACAAATTGTAGTTAGTTCAAAGTAAAACTGAATATAGATGTATAAGTTTTTTTTAAATTGATGTAAGTTTTTGAGGAGTTAAAATAGAAAATTTCAAATTTCATCTTTTTATTTATAAATTAGTTTAAATTTTAAAAGTCATTAAAATTGAGTTAAATGGTTTTTTTTTTGAATTTCGATTTATATTTGCAAACGAGAAACTACGACCAACGGTACCTTAGAAATTGAAATAAAAAAGTCATTTTCTCTCAAGAACATCAGCTTGAAATCGGTTAAAAAATCATTACCAAATATTCCTTTCGTATTTTTATACTTTGTATAGAAAAAAGTGATCAAATGAACTAAAGATTTCAGAGAATACTAAAATCACAAATCTATATTACATATTAAGAAGAAAAATTATCGAAATCTGTAATGTTACTCTATCATTGATATGACTTTGATGATGTCTGTATCTCTTGGATGCTCTTTCATATGATCAGTTTGGATATTACAATAATTATTTTGAATTAAATATTTCTAAGAATAGCAAACAAAATAGCACAGAGTAATTGTAATTTTTAAGTTCGATTTATTTTTGAATATCTGGTGACTTTATCTTAATTGAATTAATAATTACTAATTATGACGTTAGTTTCTTTTTATAGCAGGTATACAAAAATTTAACATAAAGTCTTGCGTCATATCAACTTGGTCAAATACTTTATTCTCATACTTATCATAAAACATGCTTATTTATTTTATTTTCTTTGACGTCATACGAAAAAAATACAAGGAGCAAAAAAAAGCAGTATTTATCTATGTACTCAACAAGAAAAATGTTCTGTATCGTTTATAAACATTACCTCATAAGAATACTCTAGAACAAATATCATACAAAAAAAAATAATCTTCATTTTATTTTGATATAGAAAAAATATTAGGAGAATTACAATTTTTTTTTAAGTCCAAAAACCAATATTCAATCGACTAAAGTACATAAACCTGTCATGCAACAAATCTCAAACATTTAGTCGATCACTTATAGTTTTGCATTAAATAACATACTTAGTATTATGACTACTACTTTATTCAAATCAAAGGAAGAAAAAAAAAGAGAGAAAAAAAAAGAACGAGAAAACGCGCACGTATACATATAAGAGTGAACTCGTGCGTCCGCTTCTATCACTCGAAACACGTTGTCAGACCTTCGCTCGTTCGATTCTTTGCTCTCCTTGGTGATCAACAATATTATAACAATTTTCATTATTGTTGATGTTAAAAGTGAGTGACAAATAACATACACAAAAAAATCGTACGTATATTTTCATACACAAATTATTTAGAAATTATGTACGATTTTCTATGGTTTCATATATTAATTGTCCTTTTTATGCTACATTACTAACTATAATATATATATATACATGTATAAAGTACTTGCAGAGTAAAGCAGGTTTTTTTTTCATTCTTATCATTTTCAAATGACATTTGAGTCAAAAGGGTACTACAACGATAAAACGATCGCATAGACAAGCAGCTGTTACAAAAACGCGCTTTTAAAAATATAGAATAATATAAAAGGAAAAAGAGAAAAATAAGCAGAACTTATATAGATATATATTTAAACAGTTGTCATTTCACTATACTTGAATCTATATAACAACAATGCTAATTATTTTATGATCATAAATTTTCATTGATATAGAAAATGTATCATAGTTTTATTATATAAAGTAAAAGTTATAAAGGAAGTACTATCATTTGAATGCCAGGAGAAAAAAAACACATTAAGTTTTTATATTTCTCTCATATTTATTGTCTTTTCTTTTATAATATAATTCATTATTTAAGAATATATAATGAGAATAGATATTTATTTTATTTTTTTTTTTTTGTTAAACAGAATTAAATAATGTTGGATACAACACGTTTTGCTTATTATTTTCCAACTTTATCGTTTTCTTTCGAACATGATATTCGTGCTCGATTTCAACGTCTTCATCTTCGTGCACGATCAACTTTTATTTCACTTCAAAGTATGTCACGTTATCCAGCGACATTCAAAAATGTTCCACCCATATTAGTTGAACGATTTATAATACATGGTTATCGTTCACTTCATCAACCATGGTCTTATTATTGGAAATCATTATTTCATAAACATAATGAAACAATTAATGTTTGGAGTCATTTAATAGGTATATTATATATGGGATATTTATTATATTATTATAATCAACGATTACAATTTTACGAAAATTCTCATTCATGGCCATTTATTGTATCATTATGTACGGCTATAATCATGTTTATGTGTTCAGCATTTGCACATTTACTTCATTCAAAATCTGAAACAGTTCATAGAACTTGTTTTGCAATTGATTATGTTGGTGTTAGTTTACATGGTTTTGGTTCAGGATTTCTTCATATATATTATTCAGCACCACAATGGTATTATGATAAAATTGAATATCAATATATGTTTATACTTCTTTTGTTTGGTATTCTTGCTTGTTTTTCAAATTGTTTTGCTCAATATTATTTTCGTGCACCGTATCCACCATTAAAACGTGTTTGTCAATTTTTACCATGTGGAATTTTATGGGTTTATTCTGTTGCTCCATTAATTGTTGGTTTATTTCCATTAAATTTTCCATTAGATTCATGTTCAATGTGTCATTTAGGACAAATTATATTATTTGTCATTGGTGCAACCTTATTCGCTTTTGATTTACCACAACGCTTTTGGCCCGGTACTTTTGATTTTATTGGTCAAGGTCATCATTTATTTCATTTATGCATTTATTTTATAACTCTTTGTCAAATGCATGGTGTTTATTGGGATTATGAAAAAAATCAAAAAATAATTAATGAAAGAACTAAGCCAGATTTAATATTTTGTGCTGGTTCAATGATTTCTCTTATTCTATGGGATATTGTTATTGTTTGGTATTTTCGACGATGGGCTCGTGAAAAACATCATGTTCATTAAAAATGAATTCATATACAAAAAAAACTGATATAGATTTTAGATAGAGTTAATTTGGCTCATTTTTATTTTATTTTATTTTTTTTGTTTTGAATGTTGAAGAAAAGAATAAATTTCGATAATAACATGTAAAAATAAATATAGAGAAATAGAATACTCTTTAACGTGAACTCTTTATATTAAAAAAGAAGAAAAAAACAAAGAATTCAAAACTCAATTATGCCATTTTCTTTTTTCCTTCATTCAAAGGTGATCGACGTGCACAGAAATACAAAAAAAAAAGGCATATTCAGATGGATGAAAGTAGATCATACTTTTGAATGAAATACATTTAAATAATGGAAATCTTAAATATGTTGTCATACAGATAAAAAATGTCAACAACAACAAAACAAAAAAGAAACAATGCAAAATTTGATTTTAGAAATATTCAAGTAAATTTTTTTTGCTATCAATCATAATTACAAATAAATAATACTAAAGATGAAAAGCATATCAAGAATTGGAACGTGATTTAACCGAAAACAACATTTTGCTTGTTAGCATAGTAAGAGTACATATTACATTTGTGGGTATTCATATTTATTTTCGAACTTGACTTATTTTTAATATAAAATGATTCATTAAGAAAAAGCGAGATGAAGTAAAATATGTGAATTATACTTTATTTGCACTGAATTTAATATTGCATGCAAAAAAAAATTTAGATAAAATTTTCATCTGAAGATTAATTAATTGTTGAAGTAATCAAATTTATAATTCTGTCGAATTCAATAACATAACCAAAAGAATTGTTGCTCGAAAAAAAATTCTCTTGAATCATATTTGTTTAATATTGCTTTTGCATGTTCTTTTTGTGCTTTCGAAATAATAATTTTATTCAGTGTTACTGAGTAATATGTAAGTATTTGCGCTGTTACTATTTCATGTGCATAAACAATTAACATGACCAATGCGAAAAATTTTTTTTTTTTCGCTCTCTGTGTATATAAATCCATCAACAGTAAGGTGTATGAATAGCATGATTCGCGATAATTGGCAGCAGCTCAACATTAATGCATGTTTTATGAAGCTGTACAGGTTTGGTGAAAAAAAGAAAATATGCTTTCAAAGTTAATTATATTGAATGTCCTAATTATCTTTTATTTGACAATTTTTTCTTTAACTATCAATGCAGTAACGTATTCAGATAGGCATGATTATGATGCATATGGAATTCGTATAGCTAGTACAAATGATTTTGTTGTTCTTGCTCAAAATGATGGTTTTCGTTATACAATTTCAATGGCTCCTTTTGGAACTGAATATATATGCAATTATAATTATCATACATCAGATGATTTTGTTATTAGTATAGCTGCTGGTCGACGACAAAATTCTTCACAATTATCTTTTGTCTATTTACGAACAAATACAACAGATGGACAATATCAAAAATTAGGTTTATTCACATTTTCACGTGAAACAAAAATTGCTTCACGCAATAACTCATGCACTTCTATATTAAATATGAATGAAGGTGAACATGATGTGCAAGTATGGAAAGGTAATGCATCTGATTTATCAACATTACAGGTTGATCCTTATGGAAAATATGCGTATGGTTTTCTTTCACAAAATATTTTTATTTATGATATTAAAAATCAGTATGTAAAAAATTTTTCATGGAATGATATATTTCCATCGATAAGTATTTATCCTCATGGATTAGATGTAACTGAAACAAATGATAGATTCTCAATGGCAATTATTGCTGGGTATTATGAAATTGATATTGAAAAAACCTTACCAGCTATTTATCTTGTTCGTTTAAATCCTCCGTATAATATGACTCTTGTTGATAATTATACTTTGTATTCCGATAATCAAAAATTTGTTCGTGGACGTTATGCTTCTAGTTATCAATTTGGTTATGTTATGTCTGTTTCCATACATGATTCAACTCAACAAGTTCTTGTTGGTGTTCCACAATTAAGTAAAACATATCTTTTTTCATTTAATAGTACAAATTTAACATTGATTAATACATTGAATTACACAGCACGTTCAACAAGTTGGCTTGATGATAATGGTATACAAGCTGGTTTACTTCTTAGTAATGAAGCTACACTTCCTTGGGCACAATCTCGAATACAAGTAGTAGATATATCTTCTTATAATATATTATATGTTTATCCCAATAATCAACAAACCTTAGAACAATGGTCAAGTACACCTCCAACATTTATTCGTTTAACAAAAACATACGATAATCAATTAGTTATACTTACAGAAGATGGAATTGTAGTATTAGTTTCTTCAGCTGATGCAGGTTACTATATGAAAACAGATGATATTAATTCTCCGTCACAACGGCTAGTCCAATGCCCACGTGGAACTTATAAAAGTATTCGAGGTCCAACACCATGTATGATATGTCCGACAATGACAAAGAGTTCTTCTATTAGTAAGAAATGTTTTGGACTTCCTAAAATTTCATCATTTATTGATATCTTACAGGTGTAACATCTAATTCATCGAATGACACGAATGTCATGTATTTGACTGTTAATTGTACTGCTTGTTTGTCAGATTCTTTTTGTCCGCTCGCTTCCGTTGCTGATGTTAATAAATCAGCTATTCAATCGATCAGTCAAGCATATGCTTATCCCTCATCTTCAAGTTCATCACTTGATGATATTCTCATACAAAATACATTTAATCTACCAACTGATTCTCATCGATGTCTTCTCATATCACCATTTTTTTGGGCTTTGATTACATTATGTCTTGCTTTTATTGTTTTACTTATCATGGCAATTTTATATTGTTCTCCAACAGGCAAGAATCATTTTAAACGTCTTGAATGTGTATTTCGTCATTCTGACCTTATTGGAAATGGAGAATTATGGTTTGGTGGACTTGTGTCATTTTCTATTATTGTTCTTGTCGTCTATAGTTTTTGGTTTGGTACAGTTTTTGTTATACAATATCCAATAGAAACATCAAATGATGCTTATTTTGCATGTGATACATCATTAAGAAATATTCAATTTAGTTCAGCACTACAATTAGCAGTTACAATTAAATCGGATGAAGAAGCACCTATATTTGATATGCTTGATAAGCAAGACTTTACTATGACTATCAATTTTGTGCAGACAGGTTTTACTTGTAATGATGTTACTGAGCAGGTAAATAAAGGAGAATTTCTTGATCATCATTAATATATGATTGATCACTAAAAGTTTAGTAATTAGAAGTTTTTGTTTTTTTTCATTTGTGTTTCATCTTGTTCGAAATATAAACTTCTTAGAATAAATCAAAATAATTTTTTTTTATCTATGAATGACTATCAACAGCCTAGACTAATACAATGGTTAAATACAAGAATATATTTTTCAAAGTGTTTTCTTTGTTAAGGAAAATATTGGCACTTATTCTGTCTCATTACCGCGTACCAATTGCACTATGCAACCAGATAATGCAACAGTCACTGTAGTATATCATGTGCCTTATCATCAAATGATTATGCAAATAAACTTGACAGGTAGATCATACTTCAGATAAATCGAATGCTAGTTCTTGTATATAGGATCGTGTTATATTGGTGGTATTGTCATATGTCTTACGGGTCCTCTTTCTTCAAGGAATGATTCAGCATATGTTCTTCAAAAGTTAGACTATTGCCAATCGTTTTATACATCCAATCAAACTATTGGTCAAACAACTGAAATCTATTTTGCCCTTACAAAAGTCATTAATCGAACAGAATCCTTACATTATAGTGATTCAACTAATTATAGTGGTATATGGATTCCAACATCAACTCATGGATCACTTAATGATCATGTTGCTTATTTACAACGAGGCCAATTTCTTCGTTATTTATCTACACAACATACACTTACAATTACTTTTAGTGAAACAGAATTTTATGTCATTAATAAACAACAACCAATTGCACGAAGCGGTGAAGTTATTTTTCATAATATACTTTTCACAACGACTGTTATTGGTATCTTTGCATTAGCTTTTCTTCTTTTTAAATTGACGTTTATTCCAATAGTGAAATGGATTATAAGGCACGAAAAGTTTTTATTAAAATTTTGTAAATTAAGAAAGAAAAAACTGACCGAAAATAAATATCTATTTTAAGATATATTTGTAACATAAAAGAATTATATATTAATAAAATCTGAATCTTTTCGTTTATTTTCGATTTTAATATAAATTAACAAAAGAGAATCTATTTTTCTTCATATGTTTATCTTTCATATTGAGAAATTTGAAGATTTGAACGGAAGGTATACAATAAACTAAACTAATGATATTTATTTAACAATGATCAACAATAAATTTTCACAATCACCATTAATAATAGATTCTTTTCGATTCAATGTTTTTCTTGGAAAATAATTGTTTTTTTTTCATCAAGTATTCTTCAATACTTCTATTTCCAATAAGATATTCTTATTCTATGATTGTAACAGTGATAATTATGTCATATAAGCAATGTTGCTCATGAACTTAAGAATAAAAATTTGTTCATAATTCTCGAAATGAGTTATCACATTACTCACAATAAATTTATATATACTATCATCAACATTTCAAGAATAGGCTTGAAATCGATAATTATTTTGTTCGTTTTTGAATATTTATATTTCATTTGTTTATTATTTCTCAATTTTTGAAGGTTGAAGTGTTTATCTTGATTTAAAATAATTTAACAAAGCCTTTTCAAACATTTTTTTACATTTAAAACAAAATTAAAAGAAGAAAAATATTTATTGTTATTTTAAATTAAATATTTGTTACGACTAGATTATAATTCTATTGAAATAGAATAAATCCTCGAAAATAATAATATAGGTTAAAGTAATTATCATGCAGTCACTTGTCAAAATATATTTTACTAGATACATCGACAGTAATTCTTTATTATTCATAGCTAACTGTATTTTGTGCTTCTTTTCCAAACAAGTATTATACAACTTTTTATAATTTTTATGTGTCAATCTTGGTCATATTTGACTGTCTAATAGAAGTTAAAACTTCGTTTTCGAATAAGAAGCGTATAGCTAATAACCAGTTCTAATTGATTGTGATAATTTTTTTGAGCTTTGGTTTAGAATAACGCTGCTGCTATTTTTTTCAACAGTGTCATAATCAATTACAAAATCTCCGTGATGACAAAAATGATGATTTATAGCATACACTTTTTCTAGCATGTTTTTCAAACAGAATGAAACATCGGAAAATATCCTCTTGATATAATATTCAAAATCATCTCTATTCAACAAGATAAGAAAGTGTGAGTATATCACTATATTTTCAAGCTCGTTACGATCATATTTTTCGACACATGGTAACCATAATTGATTAGGATCAGATTTTATGTTCTAGAAATTTATTAATTTCTAGCGAGAGATAATTGTTTTTATTCATTTTTCTATGGAAAATATTTATAATATAAATGATAACATAACTAATCAAGTTGGAAATGAATAACATGTACAATTTTTGACAATTGACAGTGTACTATTTGCAGAATAGAACTGTAATTTTCATCTCACTGATCGATAAGTTACAGAAAACAGCAAACTTTTCATAACCAGATACTTGGAATCAAACTAAGCCTCTCCTCAAAATAGACGATTTTTAATTAAAAAAATTTTTCGTAAAAACAATGGAATGTTTGAGATGTAACACATGAGTTGCAGGATTCCAGAAGCTCAAAATTGTAGAAAATAGACATATTTCAATGTAAATATTCTAATTAAAGTTCCAGTATTTCAAAAAAAATCAATTAATTAAGTGAGCTTTTGTCTGGGAGAGAACAACAGGAACTTCAGTCTTGAAGTCTGCTAGCTCCTCGCTCGAGTCTTCTATTACATTTTGTCCGTTGTTCCTTCAAGAGATGTTCTGTTGTGAAGTACGATTCAGAAAACAAACTCAATCTGTATTGTCGATATTTTGAGAAAAATTAGCACAATTCTATTTCTATATCACAATCATATAACATCAGACAGTTCTTCTTTAATATTTTTATCTTGTCAATAAAGTGGGAAAATTCCAAGATAGTTCATATATGTGGTATTGTTTTTGATGTCATATAAATGTCATAGAAGACTTTGAATGTAAAGAGATAAATTTTATAATCTACGAAAGCGAACGTTTTTGAAGATATGTTGTATAGGATAAAATGTATTTAAAAAGTAACACATCAAAGATATTCGATTATTTTTTTAATGAATTATTTGTAAAGTGATAATCTATTGATTTGATAGCTGTGAATTAAATCAATGATAAAGTTATCAGATTTGTCGTACGTTTTTCTCAGATTTTGATCAAAGCATTTCACAATTTTGTTCATATTTAATTGTCTTTCAAATTAGTCTGTTATGATGAAGTTAATTGCACTCATTAGCCATTTTTCGTGATTCTTTCTAGTTGTTCAGCATGTTCTTTTTATGTTAATGAAAATTACTATATAATAGCACTAATTATCATCAGTACGAAGTGCAGAACTCTGTCAAGATCAAGATAAAGAAAGACACAGAGTCATGCAGTATATATATGTCTTTGTCGTTATTATCAATTAAAATACCAACAAGAAAATAACTCACAAATTGATTCAATACTAGATCGGTTTATTTTGACATAATATCTCGAATTCAACATAACATCGAATGATTTACTCCTCGTTCTCCATACCTAAACATCATTCGAAATGAGAAAAGCTTTATCGAGACTCTGAGAATGTGAAGAGTGCACATCTGAAAACCGTTTAGGGACTATAAAAATGCGGAAAACGATAATTAGCAGCTGAGAGCTTCCTTACATGATCATGTACTACTTAATCTGAAGAAGACCATTGATATTTCAGATGCTATATGTAATAGTTTTCTTATATAGCAATAGTTCGTATTGATTCATTTTCTCTCAATTGGTCAGCTGAACCAAGACAGTTTAATCCGATTGAATTTCATCATGATTTTCTCTCCGGAGTCCAATATTTCGAAATAGGAACTATTGCATAGGAGTGCGTTCTGATATTTTTCAAACTCGTGTAGTGAGTTTTTTTTTGTATTATTTATTCGAATATTAAGATATTTGTTGAAAATCAAAACATTAAAGCGTACGATACGTTCTGATATAAGGATTACCAAATTCGAAACAGTGGTTTTTTCCATATCGTTCTGAATCCTGTCTACCTCATCCAAGAAAAATTTTGGCACAAATGAATTTTTTTAGGATTCGAGCTTGCTTTGCAAGACTCGAAAAATAAATCAACGTTATGTTTACTCACATCTGTTCGGTATGAAGCATATACATAATGTTATTAACAATTTCTTTACTAGATTATTCATGAATGCTCGAATTTTGTTTGAGTGAGATTTTTCGTTCATTTGAACATGATTTCATTCCACGAATCTCTGAAGCATTTCCATCACTCGAATATTTGATGACACTAAATATGACGGAACGATTAAAGAAACGACGAATTCAACTAAATAAATTTGCAAAATATCCTTGATTATTGACTACTCCAATTTGATATTGCAGTATCGATGAAAATATTGAAATATTGGCAGTGACTTACCAGCAGTGTGCCAGTGAACGTCAGCGTGAATTTTTTGTGAACAGTTTACTGACATTGTACATTGCTAATTTCAATCTCACTGAACTGAATGTGTCTTTAGGCCATATGAATTAAATAGAACAATTTCGTGTTATACTGTTAGACGTTTATCTTATCTGAAAAGCTTTGAGTTGAGACACACATATGATTACTGTAACAGAGAAGTTTACAACTAGTGAAACACTTAACAACTGCGCAAAGTTGAATGTAGCATTTTTAAAAAACCACTCATGTTTTATTAATGTTGGAGTGCTATTATTGACTGTATAATAATGAAATATACATAGAATATATCTATTTAATCTATTGGATTAGATTCTAAATACTAGTTTAATGAACTATTATTTTTAACATGAAATCTTAAGAATACAACGAAGTCAGTTTAGGATGCAATCTTTCAAATTAATTTTGTTTCTTTCTATTCTAAAGAAATTTTTGAACTATAACAGGACTCTGATACAATTTTCTGATAATTCATACACTCTGTTTTTTTCAAAACAATAGAAATAAAAAGTTAAAAGCCACTGAAATTGATCCATATATTTGTATAATGAACATTTCAATATGTCTGAAATTCATTTTGGCAAGACAAGCCGAAGCTTTTGTAGAAATTATACAAGATATAGGAAAAAATTTTCAGTGGAAAAAAACCAAAAACTATCTAACAAAAATCATATCAACAATTTTTGTAATTTAGAAATTAATAATTTTAAGAAATTCAAAAATTTCACCAAACGTCTTCCACAATGAAACGAATCGAAAATTAGATGGTTCGAAAAAATTATAGCAACATAAGACAAAATGACATTGAGTCACGTTTAAATAGTAGATATATCTTAAATTCGGAGTTTTGTTTGTTATTTTATTCTATGTCAACATCCGAACTTAGCTCAGCTGGCAGAGCGGTAGGCTGTAATGGTGTATGAATCGTAGTAACCTATAGGTCCCCAGTTCAAATCTGGGAGTTCGGATTTATAATTTTTTTTGTTCGTTCTTTCTGTACGATTGTATCGTATTGAAGCACAAGGTGAAAGGTAAATTATAAATATTCTCGTATTTTAATTGATTTTTTCATTAATTTGGTTTCAGGCGCCTTATTGATGTCGCTAGTGTAAAGCATCAGTTAGTAAGATTGAGTAAATGGTTTTTATCGATTAGTAAATAAAATAGAATTAGTAGTGTGCTTTGTAAATATTAAGTGCTTTTTGATATTGCACTTGTATCTTTTATTATCATATCTATGACGACTTTTCTTAAACACTAGAAGACAGTTGCACTCACGATTCTCTAACACTATGAAACTAAAATTTAGAATATAGCGAAAAATTCCTTTGGCTTTGAGATTTGCTTTATAAGTTGACTCTATCAGATTATAAATTCATCTGAATGAAATCAGCTCAAATGAAAGTTTCTACATTTTACATAATTATACTATAGTGCTCGCAAAAGATCACACTATCAAGTAAAAAATAACTGAAATTTAATCCTTCAGTGTTATAGTTTGATCACA